GAGTCCCAACTGGCAGGTTAAAAGCTCTGTGCTCCAAATGGTGAGAAAGTTTAACAAAATGAATCTGAATACAAAATATATAAATGAGGCAAGAGGGTGTACTGTACATCAGAAAAATATATGGGGGCCTTACTTGATGCAAAAGCGATATTGGTCTAAGCATTTCTTGTCCTAGAGTAGTGGTGGCTAACCTTTTTGGGCTCCCATGCCGAAAATTAAGGCAATGCGCATGGCAATGCGCCTACGCCCCAACCCCATGCACCACGCATCTCTGTGCATGCACATGCGATCCCCCACACACCATGCGTCTCTGTGCATGTGCCCACGATCCTCCTGTGCATGCCATGCATCTCTGCACATGTGCACGAGGACCTCATGCGCCCTGTGTCTCTGCTCATGTGCCCGCAGCTCCCTTAATCCCCACGCATGTGTGCCAGATACCCGACAATCAGCTGTCAGGCAGGCGGCGCACACGCATGCGCGGTGGGGCTCTGCCAGGCGACATCTCACGAGCCAGCAGAAGTGGGTCTGGGTGCCACTTCCGGCACGCATGCCATAGGTTCGCCATCACGGTCCTAAAGTGACCATCTAGATGTCAATCACGTGCTTGTATTTCAAATTTATTAATTTAAGCCACAGTTGAAATGTTCCTATGATGAAATTACATATTCATATTTGCATGTAGCTTTTTTCTCAATCTTTGTAGCTACTGTAATTCACGGGAGCCCCAAGAAAAGCTCTTAAAAGGCAAAAATTTTCTTGGTGGCGAGGTTATTATTATGCACATTATATTTGAACTTAGCCCAAACACTGACTGGTCTATTGCTGTTTTTCCAATCCTGTTATTTAAATCTCTTTTTTCCCCATCCTCCCAACCTAAAAGATCAACTTAGACTTCCTGAGGAATTATGGGGCTTTCTTTGTAACAGAAGTTATTGACCTGTTGTGAAGTTTCAGTAGCTCTGCAAAGCAAGAAAGTCCTATAGCTCATTTATTTGTGTTATTCTTAAAGACAGACACTTCAAGCTCATCCCAATCCCATAGAATCACACATCTATTTCTTCTCTGCCCCAATTCTCCATCCCCATACACAGATACAAAAATAATAATAATTGAAGTCCACCAAATCCAAGTTAGGGATCCAGCCAGCAATGTGGCTTAAGAACATAAATTAGGAATTGAGAGTCTATGAAATTCTTGCTAATTGAATGGCACATTTTTTTAAAAAAATGGATGCAATTAGTTTCCCCAAAGGTGCTTTTCCAAAAGGCAACTGGATTTTCTTGAATTTTTTATTTCTTTGAAAACATCATGCTTATCATCCAAGAAGCGTCTTCAGAACTCTGTGAGATTGGGATGAGCTTGACATGTCTGTCATTAAGAATGAAATGAATAAATTAGCTGTAGGGTTTTTTCTTGCTTTGCTGAGCTACTGAAATTTCCATAAAGCTGAAAATAAAGTTAACAGCTTCAATGTTACAAAGAAAATCCCATATCTCCTAAGGAATTCTAAGTCGCTCTTTTGGTTTGCAGGGAGAGGGAGAAAAAAGAGGTTTGAATTACAGGATTGGAAAAAAAGCAACAGATGAAGAACTGAAGAAGCTTCTTGGATGAGAAGCAAAACTTTTTTAAAAACCCCAAGAAAGTCCAGTTGCCTTTTGAAAAGCCTCTTTGGGATAACTATGACCCTGTTGATTGAGAATCTTCATAGATACGCAATCAATTTATTTTACTTTTCTGGACAGAGGACCCTACTTAATGCATCTTCACAGGAAGAACATAGAAAAGCTATTTAAAATACTAATTATTTAATTCCAAACATTTTCTTCCAGCTAAAGCTTGGTTGTGCCTCACTGGAGGCCCAAATGATACTTTACTGGTTGGAACCTTGGCTGAACTGAACATTTGAGTTCCCAGCCCTGCTCACCAGGCTGGTAATTCTCTTCTCTTTGGGCTCACTGCTGACTCTCGACCCACAGTTTATTCAAGCTGGTTTTAGGGGGAAAGCCAATGTTAATGAACTGGGTTTTTTATTTCAATTTAAAAATGATGGGGGCTATAAAATAGGGAGGCCTTACCAGAACTCCTATATCTTTTGGGGAATAACATATTGTATAATTCCCTACAAGACTCTCAGAAAGCATTGACATTGGATGAGGTTGGTCTCCTTATTCTCAAAGGTGATGGAAGGCAGACTTCACAACATGCCTTCACAACAAACCCTCTATGTATATATTCAGAGAGTAAACAAATCATGCATGTTCTTTCAAACTGCCTCCTACACTGTATTAATGGTAAATCTCTAGATTATCAGAAAACATTCCAATCTTAAATTATTAATTTCCTGTTAAGTGACCAGTTTAGAGAGTTGCAAAATTTTGAACCCTAGTAATCACAATTAGATGATGCTGTCTACAAGTGTCATATAGGAAGCCATTTTGTACTCACTATTCCACATCCTTTTCCTCTTGCTCCCATCATTATCATCATCATCATCATCATTCCCCCTCCCCCTTGCTTTGCTCTCCATTAATTTACTGCTATTCCCTTAACCTGATGCACTTAACTAACTTCCTACTGCTCCTTTGGTCTATAACTACTACAGGAATATAAAATTCTAAACAGTTCAAACCCAAACCCAGGAATATAAACTGGGTTTAACAGGGGCCTCCACAGCTACCTAAATGAATTCTAACACAAGTCTTCAGCAAGGTGAGAACAAAAATGGAATATGGATGTTGGTCTGAACAAGAAAATCTATGGTAGAATTCAGATGCTGTGATTAATCAGGTATAAAGGTGATTTACTGGACAATCAACATTTAGGCACAAACCATAGCTTAAATCTAGCAATAGATGTATTTGTTCTGGGCAAAATCAAAATCACCTTATATCTCAGCATCTTATGCAAAGCTACTGCTTTTCTTCTTTCCCATGTACAACATATCCATTTATAGGCAGTGTAGAAATATTTGTGTAAAGCTGCATTTCTGTCCGCCTGGTCTGAGGTAATCTGTAGAGCTTAACAGATTCAGATTCCCATAAGAGGAATGAAACACTGGCTGATCCTAAACAGGCCTGCATGGATGTAAATGCAATGCAAATTTAACTGTCAATTCCCACACTTCTACTTTAACTTAAGTTGCTTCCAATATTTTACCTATCAGCCTTTTACAGCTACTTCATAGTCTGACCAAAAATACCTTTTGATAATTACTACTTACAAACCCTGTGCAGCTCCTGTACCATTCTCCACAGCCTCACATACAGTTAGTTAATCTACTCATAATCATAAGCATCTTTTAAACACTTCAGTACTGTCATTAATCAGCTTCTCTCTAAACTCCAATATCTCAACCTCAGCCTCTCTTTTGCATCTAAACTTTACTACAGTAATCCAATTAGTAAGTTAGTTACCCTGCCTAAGCTGTGCCTGGAATTTATCTTTAAGCAATCATCATTAAAAAGCAAGTCATGTTTTCCTCTGGGGTCCTACCTTATGGCTTGAAAATTAAATTATAGGAAATGCTAGCTATTCGTGTGGAAATGGGCACAGAGATGCCACCATAATCTGGAAAGAGGGAGTTGAACCAAGCAGAATGTTAAACCTTATCTATCAGTCCCTCTTACCCTGAACAGAGGCACCTAAGTGGGATCTTCCACTTCATATAAAGAACTTTTATCGTCTCCTATGGATTTGATCACAGAATCATAGAGTTGGAAGGAAGATAAGAGGTCATCAAATCCAATCCCCCGAACGCTGCAAAATTCACCCTAGCATCCCCAATAGAGGATTATCCAATCCCTGTTTGAAAACCTCCAGTGAAGGGGAAGAAACTGCACCATGGGCAATCTATTTCACATTTACTGTCAGCACTTACTAGCAAGAAGTTCTTCCCAATGTTTAATCCAGTATTTCTCAACCTCAATAACTTTTAAGTTGTGTGGACTTCAACTTCCAGGATTCCCCCGCCAGCCTGCCTAAAATCATGGATGCCATATTCTATGTGTAATGTAACTAACTGAGAATAGAGAGGAACAACAACTTCTCTTGACTTTGGTTTTACACTTTAGCTGTTGCAGCCTAGGACTGTTTTGCTCTTTTGCCATCATCTTTTGCTGGCTCACATTCAGTTTGGGATTCATCAAGACATTTTTCACATGTACTGCACCACAGTATAGTTGAGGAACAATAAAAGAAACTGTTCAGAATTAATTCCACATGTCCTTCTTGGTTCTTAGGCCCAAACATTGAGTCACCATCTCTGTATTTCCAAATGGGACTAGAACAGATTCTTATGTGAAATTCTGAAAATCTGGTATGATGCGCTTCCTGTCAGAAAAGAACTAAAAGTGATGTATAAACCAAGTACAGGGTAAAATGAACTTTCTCACCCTCATTGCTGCTTAAAAGATTCCTAAAATTAGTATTTCATGCCTTAATGACTCTCATCTTCACCTACTGCCTGGCTCTACTGTCACAAGGCCCAGGTCAATTGCTCACAATACCGTATCTTCAGCAAACTCAATTTCTTTCATTTTGTCTTCATTATTCCCATAGACATTCCTTTTCACACATAAATTTCCACTGCCAACTAGTTCATTCCACTCTATAAAATATGAATATCCAACCCCTTTGAGCTCATCATAAATTTCAAGACTCCAAGGGCAAAAGGGAAGGTTGGAAATGGTCCTTTCCCTAGTAACTGAAGGAAAGAAAGGGATGCAAACTACTTTTGAAAATAATGTGTGGAAAGAACTATTGATTTTTCAAGAGCCTTTCCATTTTCTCCTGTTGATAAGCAGTAATTTCTGCACTTGTTATCCCTGGCAGCTGTGCCTTGTTTGCCAGAACTACCAATCTATTTTCTCATCATTCCACATGTTGAATGTGTCTCTTTAAACATGGCAGCAGCTCTGGGAACCAAAACAACAGAATTCTCCTAGAGCAGAAATATGGAAAGCACAGCCATTCTGCAGAAAGAAGGAAACCAACCCTACCTCTTGCTGAGAGCTTCTTGGTGTTGATAATCTTGGCTGCGTATTCATGTCCAGTGCAAAGTTTGACACAGCGTCGCACCACGGAAAAAGCCCCCCTGAAGAAGGAGAAGGAAAAAGAGATTGATTAATGACTGCATGGCAGGAGAATTTCATTGACATGCTCATTGCAAAATTCCTAATCCATCTTTTTTTTTTTAAAAAAAGAAAAAGGGTATGGCTTTGCACTCATTTGATTAGCACGCTAATATTTAAACTATTTTTATCCTACTGTCTAGTTAACACTTTTACAAATACCCCTAGTCCATGTTCACACCCTAACAGATGTGGCAGACAAGGAGAAGGTGATGGGGAAGAAAAAGAAAAGAGCAAATTCAGTCATAAGCACTTAAGCTTGTGATTCAGGTCACAACCAGCTGGAATCAAAGGGGTTCCTGATTTCCCAATGTACCTTTCCACATGTAAGCAGGACCCTTTCATCAGATTCTCTCTCTGAATTAAATTTCATTGCATTAGTTTAATCCATCTCTTAACTGCTTCCAGATCTGTTAAATCATACCACAGCTTTTCTAGACTTCCTAGATAAGTGGAACACAGCATGTTGTTCCTGATATTCATAAATGCAACCCTATAGATGATTTCACCCAATGGCTATCAATGGTTATAAATCAGGAAACAAGACTGAGCATTCAAGAAGACAGAGCCCATATCAAGAGAAGTCCTCAGCCTTCACTTTCTGAGTTCTCTTGTCCAAGACTAAAATCATAATACAGGCAGTCCTTGATTTACAATCATTCATTTAGTGGCCGTTCAAAGTTACAGCAGCATTGAAAAAAATTATGAATGGTCCTTGCACTTATGACCGCTGCAGTATCCCCATGGTCATGTGATCAAAATTTGGATGCTTGGCAACCAGCATTACCATCTGCAACTTCCCAGCCAGCTTCTGACAAGCAAAGTCAATGTAGGAGCTGGATTCGCTTAATGACCATGTGATTCACTCAACAATACCAACCATAGCAAAAAAGTTCTCTAAAATTGAGAGTGATTTAATAATCACATTGCTCATCAATGGAAATTCTGGTCCCAGTTGTGGACATTAGTTGAGGAGTCCCTATAAACTTTCTCCCCCTCCCTTCCTGGATTTATACAACAGCTTAAACTTGGGGGGAAAACACACATTCTGATTTTATGGACTGTGTGAATAGACCAAAAATGTTGGGAGTAGATGAATATTTGGTCTGAGCTCACCTTCTATGCTTAATATGTTGGGCAGCTTCTGCTTTTAGATCTGAATATTTATTTATATTGGATCATCAAGAAACTTTCAAAGCTCAAAGGAATTTAACATTTTAACATGTCTTTTCCAGTTACTTTATCTTCTGAACGAAATTGGTTTTTATCTGAAAACTCTTCCAACACTACCTTTAACATCTGGCTTTTGCATTAATACCTTTATTTTTGTCACAACTAAGAGGCTTTAAAAGTGCCCCCCCTTCTCTCAGGGATTGTTAAACTAATTAATCCTGTTCTATTGTGGGACAGTGAGCTTTTGGAAATATCATTCTATAACCTTTTCCAATTCTCAGAGTGGTATACATTAGCCAGTGACCTCAGATGCTCTCCTGTCAACAACCCCTAACAGCTGTCTTTTCCTCATGCCACAATTCCAACCAGTAGGAAAACCATCGGATTAAAACCATGTGAATGTCACATTTAAGACCAAAAGCATGAAGCTGTTCTTCACTAGCTGCCTCCTAGGGAGAATCTTAGACAACCTGATAATTGTTAGTTTATTAGAGAGGATCCAGGGTGTTGTTTTAATGGTGGACAACTGGATTCTGATGGGAGGTGTACCAAACCTACAAAGGCAATACCCATCCTCCACAGTTCCTTCTCTTTTTCATCAGAGTGATATCTAGGAATTGACCCAATTCCACTTAAATGAATGAGACTGAAGTTAGACATGACAGATATTAGTTTCATCCATTGATTACACCGAGCCTGTCCAACATGTATTTTATCAACAGATTGTTTTTTAAAATCATGTTGCAAATCATTTGGAATTATGTCTGAATTTTGATGAAGGACAATTCACAAATGTAAAATGTAATGACGATTCTATCTAACTATCCATGTAGAGGTAGTCCTTGACTTATGATTGTTCAGTGCCCAATTTTATAATATTTTTTGCCATAGTTAAGCAAATCACTGCAGTTGCTAAGGAAATCCAGCTTCTCCCCATCGATTTTGCTTGTTGGAAGCCAGCTGGGAATGTTGCAGTGATCCCAGGATCCCAGGATGCTGCAACCATCATAAAAAGATGCCAGTTGCCAAATGCCCAAATTCTGATCATTTGAAGATGTTGTGACAGTCTAGGACTAGTTGCAAGTCACTTTTTCCAGTGCTATTGTAAGTTCGAATAGCAACCCAATGAATGGTTGTAAGTCAAGTAACAGCCACTGACAAGCACACAGTTTAGCACAGAAATTCCATAAACAAAACCCCAACTGTTGCACAGTAGAAATACTGATTGCTTGTCTCAGGGTATCATCGTCACTTTTTAAAATTTTCTATCTTGTTTTGCTTCGGAGTAGTTGAAATCTTGAGAGTACCAATGGTATTCTTATTAAGAGAGAATCGGGATGGCTATCACCGTAGGGGGCATAGGCAGAAAGTATTACAAAATACTAAGTGAAAAGCAAAAATAAATGCTTAAGGAAATAAATCACGATGATTAATATTTAATTCCGCCAAAGAATGCTAGCATCCAAGCACATTTTCACTGGAAATAACTTACCTGAATTCTACAGGTAGTCCTTGGCTTACGACCACACTGAGCTCAAAATTTATGTTGCTAAGTGGGACATGTGTTAAATGAGTTTTGCCCAGTTTTACTAACTTTCTTGCCACAGTTAACAATAGTAATAGCATTTAGACTTATGTACTGCTTCACAGTGCTTTTCAGCCCTCTCTAAGCAGTTTACAGAGTCAGCCTCTTGCCCCTAACAATATCTGGGTCCTCATTTTAATGACCTTGGAAGGACGGAAGGCTGAGTCAACCTTGAGCCTGGTGAGATTCGAGCTGCCAAATTGCAGGCAGCCAGCAGCCAGCAGAAGTAGCCTGCAGTACTGCATTCTAACCACTGTGCCACCACGGCTCTTGTTCAGTGAATCACTGCAGTTGTTAAGTTAGTAACACAGTTGTTAAGTGAATCTCACTTCCCCATTGACTTTGCTTGTCAGACAGTCGCAAAAGGTCAAAATGTGAGATCCCGGGACACCGCAACCATCATAAATATGAGTCAGTTGCCAAGCGTCTGAATTTTGATCCTGTGATTGTTGGGATGCTGCAATGGTTGTAATTGTGAAAAATGGTTATCAGTCCCTTTTTTCAGTGCTGTTGTAACTTTGAATGGTAACTAAATGAACTCTTATAAGTCAAGGACTATCTGTATTGTTTTATTCCTGAGCGGATACATACAACATCAAATGTGAATATTCAGACTGTTTTAAATCAAGTGCAAACCAATAGGATAATACCAGATTTTGCCCACCAAATACCCACCCTACATGATGGGACTGAAACACCCAGAATTCTCAAGCAGCAAACTCTGGAAGTTGCAATTCCAGTCCATTTGGAGAGTTTGCATTTAAATGACAATGACTAAAGTGATACATTGAATTTGTTTGTTTGTTTATTCGTGTCAGAAACATATAAAATACAAGATTAAAATATATACAAATTAAACAGGACTTGCCCAGAAACTAGCAATATTAATTGCATTCTGTTGCTCTGCCATGAGGTCCTCAAGTGTACTCTGATCGGGGCACAAAGGGCAGGTATATGAATAGGAGTGGTTGTCTGCATGTTACCACAATCCCAAAGAGTCAAAATACACTGAGTCAAAATACGCTTATTGCATAGCTGGCAAAGTTCACACAACCCAAGTCAAAAGTAATGGTTAATTGATCACTATGGCTAGATGTAGGATACGTTCCAATACCCTCTCCTCCTCCCACCAAAATTAAACAAACCACTATCAATACCTGGGAAGATCATGGAAATGATAATAAAAAAACAGATCTGTGAACAAATAGGAGCAAATAAAGTTATTGGCAACTACACTGCTCAAAAAAATAAAGGGGACACAAAAATAAGACATCCTAGATCTGAATGAATGAAATATTCTTATTAAATACTTTGTTCATTACATAGTTGAATGTGCTGATAACAAAATCACACAAAAATTATCAATGGAAATCAAATTTAGCAACCCATGGAGGTCTGGATTTGGAGTTACATGCAAAATTAAAGTGGAAAAAAACACTACAGGCTGATCCAACTTTGATGTGATGTCCTTAAAACATGTCAAAATGAGGCTCAGTAGTGTGTGTGGCCTCCACGTGCCTGTATGACCTCCCTACAATGCCTGGGCATGCTCCTGATGAGATAGCGGATCGTCTCCTGAGGGATCTCCTCCCACACCTGGACTAAAGCATCCCCCAACTCCTGGACAGTCTGTGGTGCAACGTGGCGTTGGTGGATGGAGCGAGACATGATGTCCCAGATGTGCTCAATTGGATTCAGGTCTGGGGAACGGGCGGGCCAGTCCATAGCATCAATGCCTTCATCTTGCAGAAACTGTTGACACACTCCAGCCAAATGAGATCTAGCATTGTCGTGCATTAGGAGGAACCCAGGGCCAGCCGCACCAGCATATGATCCCACCAGTGCTCTGAGGATCTCATCTTGGTACCTAATGGCAGTCAGTCTGGCAAGCACATGGAGGGCTCTGTGGCCCCCTAAAGAAATGCCACCCCACTCCATTACGATCCACTGCCAAACCGGTCATGCTGGAGGATGTTGCAGGCAGCAGAACGTTCTCCACGGCGTCTCCAAACTCTGTCACGTCTGTCACATGTGCTCAGTGTGAACCTACTTTCAACTGTGAAGAGCACAGGGCACCAGTGGCGAATTTGCCAATCTTGGTGTTCCCTGGCAAATGCCAAACGTCCTGCACGGTGTTGGGCTGTAAGCACAACCCCCACCTGTGGACGTCGGGCCCTCATACCACCCTCATGGAGTCTGTTTCTG